GTAATAACCTTTGTTTCTTTCCTAGCAGAATGATCACAGACGTGCAGCTTGCTATATTTGCCAACATGCTTGGTGTGTCCCTTTTCCTCCTGGTGGTTTTATATCACTACGTGTCTGTGAACAATCCAAAGAAGCTGGAGTGATTGCAATCACAGGGTAAGGATGAGTGAAGCTCTAACAGTCAATGTGATTTTAATGGAATATTGTAAATTATTTTTTGTTATTGAGTTTTAATGAAAATAGAAAACGTAGGTGCTCATATTGAGAAAAGGTTCAGTTAACAGAGATCCATAATATTGTTTAAAATAAAACGTAGCGTATCGTATAGTGTGATATCTGCACTATGTGGGGCTAATGTCTCCTACATATACCGCTGTGACGAAAGCCACTTCGCCACTGGTTCTTGTAGAGGACTAATGGCTCGCCTTTTGCCTTGTGGCTATGGCCCTTTATTAGACTCTGGTTCAGGACTGGGGAAAGACTGTTGTTCGTGCCTGTCACGAGCGTGGGCTATAGGCCCAGCCGAGACAGTGGGGAGAGTGTGGAAGTGACAGGGTTAATGACACCAGACCCCTGGTGACCTGTTGCTAGTCCTAGCAACCACTCAATTAACCCCTGCAATCCCTTCTACACTAACCCCCCTAGTACACACTTTACTGCCACCACTAAGACTTTAAACCCGGGCGTCTTAGGTTACCCCACACACAGGAGAATTATAGAATTACAGTTCTACTTTTACTGATCAAACACATATAATTAACCCTTTTTGGTAACGTCTTTACCTGAGCTTTCTTCTGGAGAGTGAAACTCATAGAGAACAGACACAAGCTGATTAAGTAAACATTTTAATCTCACAAAAAAGATTCACAGTGCTGAGTACAAAATACAGAAATAAATGACATACAGATAACAAATTGCAAAACAGTAATTAAAATAAAATAGGAGAAAACACAAGAAATTCCTTACATGTAGTTACCCCATATAGAATTCTTGTGGGAGTCTTAGATGGTATAGGTCTCCTAGAAGTTGCAAGACCACAATAAATGTCATCCCAAGGTTTACAAAAAACAACTCTTAACATATATACACACATCAAACACCAACTCATGCTTTTGGCATGACAGTGCCTTTTCCCTGCAATGGTTCAGTGCTGCAAAATGGGCACAAACCAAGTACTGAGTCCATATGCAGCTTATACTTCTCAGAGGTCCGATATTGTTCTATGTACACTCCTTGTTTTATTGATTGCATGTAATATTCTAATTTACTGAGATTGTGGATTTGGGGTTTTCATGAGCTGTAAATCATGATCATCGCACTTATGACAAATCACGGCTTTAACCATCTTGCTTTGCATGTAATGCGTCTCTCATATATTTCCCATTTTACGTTGCATTACTGAAATAAATGAACTTTTGCACGATATTCAAATTTTTTGAGTATCACCTGTATACCGCCCGTCCCATTCCTCTCCTACCTGTATACCGCCCGTCCCATTCTTCTCCTACCTGTATACCGCCCATCTCATACATGAGCATTGAAACCAAAGCTTTGCGTTTGGCGGCGTCATGTTCTGCACAATGATACCGAATATGAAGACTGTCGTCTTAACGAGGTCGTGGCTGTCAGTCTGACTGATATCAGAAGTGTCTTTCCAGACAAATGTAAACATTTCAGTTTTTCAGAAGTGGGAATGGTGGTTGTTTTTGTTTTTTTGTATTTTTTTTTTTTTTTTGTATGAAGTTAGGGATAGCATGTGTGCACCACAACCACTGCAGTAAGCTGAAGTGATTTTGGTACTTTGTGTCCCTCTAAAATCCATCAAGTATACATATGTCTCTAGACTCTCTTAGTGGCGGTATTTTCCACAATGCACTATTCCCTATTATGTAGTCTCTAATATACAAAGTACTGTGTTCTGTAAACCTATCCGTGTATGTTTTACAGATGGTGTATTTGACCGTCACAATCAGATCCAATGCTGGAGAAGAGACTGTGCACGCATATCCCGTCCCCTGGCGCACTACTGTAGATATGTTTTCTAATGTCATTTCCTGAACCAGAATAAATGATGTCTTTGTTTAAAGCTATGTTAGTGTTTGTCTGTTTGACAGGTAAAGGTAGTGGATGTATGTCACACTCGCTCTGCTAATTAATGTTACAGGTCAGATTCAGTGCATGTTCCATGTGTGGATCTCGATTCTAATATATTGTGTAGAGTACAGAAGATATACTCTATTATTACATCCCTTTCTAAAGGGAACAAAGTTTTCATTTATAGTTTATTCATTACAAACCTGTTTTGATTCCTCATTACAAAATCCCAATGAAGAGGAAAAAAAGTAAAATATTCCTCTGGGGACTAATAAGACATTAAATGTAAGCTATTTGGGTTATTCACTGAAGTGAGAATTGCAGGGAATGCAAATAGAAGGCCAAAGTAGCCAAACTGGAGAGCTGACTGGGATAATGGTTTTCAGTTCAGCTATTTAGACTTGAAATTGATCCTGTAAATCTCTCCTTACAGGAAGTGTTATGAAGGCTGTGTGAGTCAGAGCAGGAGTCCAATTCTAAATAAAACAATTTGCAATAAAGGAAGTGTAAACATTAGATCTATCTTTACAGGAAGTGTTTAGGAAGGCTGTATAGACAGTGATTTAACTCCTAAATGGCAGAATTGAGCAGCGACACTGCCGGGGTACGATCTATACATTGAGACTGCTTCATTAAGCCTAAGTTGTTTTGGTGACTTATGTACCTTAAAGGTTAAAAAAGCTAAGTTGGAAACATTCTCTAACTCACCCAAGCTGTTCAGCTACGCAGGACTTAGATGGGAAATTCACTTTGAATTCTCACCTTCGTAAATAAACAAGAGAATATCTCAGCACAGTACTCACCTAAATGATGGCCTTGACATTGGCAGGTGAGCTTATATGTTGCTACATAAAACCTCAGGAAGGTTCAGCATTTGTAAGTGTTTTGGTTTGTTTTGCCATTGGTGCAGAGTGAAGGGCCAATGCTGTTTTAATGGCTCTCGTAGACCAGTTGGCTGTGGGATAAGTACAAGGCTCTCAAAGTGAATTTTAAATTAAAGGCCAGAATATCCAAGCTGGAAATATTCAAGTTATCTTTGCTTCCAGTTTGGCTACTTTGAATTTTTTGACAATTCTCACTTTTGGGAAAAAGCCTGTGGACAAAATAGAAGATGACACCGTGGAAGAAAACGTGGCCTGGTGCTGGGGAACCTTTATTCTATTTCTATATTGTACAAGTTATAAGGGGGTGCTCCTAATAGTCAGTTGCAGTAACCCTTTAATGATTTGGCTCAAATCATGCCTAACGTCGTTTGGCTCAAATCGTGCCTAACAACACCAAGACTAGCCAGACTGTAGCTGTAAGGGTAGCCAGGGGAGCAGTGTACCAGCTACCCACAGCCCGGGTCCATTTGAATTGGGGAGCGGGGTCTGGGAATGTGGAGGTGGGGTTGATGCCGCAACTACCCGCCAAAGTTTTGTTGGGGAATGAGCTGGGGAGACTGACATCCGCTTATGAGCCACAGATTCCAGCCACTGGAGAAGCGCATCCTGTTACCCGCCAACAGACCCGCACCTCACACCCGGAGGTTCAAGTAAGAGACCCTTCCCCTTCTTTAGAGTATGTTCCCTGGGTGCCCCTAGTGAGTTTGAGGCAGAAGTAGCTACCAATCCCACACTGCAGGTTTAAAGGGATAAGGTTATGTCTGGTCAACCTGGGGTAGAGGGGGAGCGATTTTGTATGGGAGGGGAAATTGTTATACTGAGAGACTGAAAAGAGAGTAGACGAGTCAGACCTGATCACCAGTAGGCAGTTGGTGGTACCGTAGCAGTACCGATCAGAACTGCTCCGACTAGCGCGTGATATTCCACTGTCCGGCCACGTAGGAGAGAGCTGTACTCTGTACCGGTTAACCCAGCGTTTTTTCTGGCCGGGGATAAGTTAGGAGGTATTGCAGCATGTGCGACACCTGTCAGAGGGTAGGAAAGAGGGGGGACCCACAGGAAAGCTAAATTACACCCCTTAACCATAGTCGAGGAACCGTTCAGGCGAGTAGCGGTTGACATAGTAGGTCCCTTGAAGGCTAACCCTTCTGGCAAACAATATATTTTGACAGTGGTGGACTATGCCACAAGGTATGCAGAGGCGGTGGCGTTGTCTAACATCCACTCCGAAACGGTAGCTGAGGCCCTTATGCAAATCTTCTCCAGAGTGGGGTTTCCCAGGGAGATAGTCTCAGATCGGGCCACACAGTTTACCGCGGAGGTCACTCAGCACCTCTGGAAATTCTGTGGTATTAAACTCCTCATAGTTTTGTTGGTTACGCAGAGACCAATGGGCTCTGCGTACAGTTTAATGGAACATTGAAACAGATGCTCCGAACCTTTGAGACCCATCGGGACTGGGAACAATTCCTGCCCCACCTCTTTGCCTACCAGGAGGTGCCTCAGCAATCCACCGGGTTCTACCCGTTTGAATTGTTTGGGAGGCGAGTAAGAGGCCCGTTAGACCTTAGTAAGGAACACTGGGAGGGAGACCGTAGCACGGACGGTACCCCAATCATACCATATGTACTGGAGTTCCAGAACCGGCTGGAAGAGTTGACCCGGTCAGTACGGGAAAACCTTCAGGCAGCCCAGACACGCCAGCGCACCTAGTATGATCGGAGCGCCAGGGACCGTAGCTTTCAGGTCGGGCATAAAGTTTTGATTTTGAAACCTGTCCGACATGACAAGCTACAAGCCGCCTGGCAGGGCCCTTATAAGGTGTTGGAACAACACTGTGACATCACCTATATAATTGGTCCGTGTACCGGCAGGGGGGGGCGTGATGCATGCTCCATGTAAACATGATGAAGCCCTAACGGGAGCACTCCAATGACGTGACGTCCATTTGCGCGCCCTTTTCCGAGGAGTTTGACAATCTTCCCCTCCCAGACCTGTTGGGGGACGGAACATTGCCCAGTGATTTAGCAGAAGTTAAGTTTGGAGACCGGCTGAGTCCCCAGGAGCGTAGCGAGGTACAGCAACTCCTCAGGGAGAAGCAGGAGACCTTCTGCAATATGCCTGGCTACAATCCTCTGGCCACACACCGCGTAGAGACCCTGGGTCAACTCCCACTGCGCCAGACTCCATACCGCATCCCTGAGGCGGTAAGGGAGAATATACACAGGGAGTTTGATTAGATGCTCCAAGTGGGGGTGACTGAGCCCTCAGACAGCCCCGGGGCCTCCCCTATAGTCCTCGTACCCAAGCGGGACGGTACGACCCGCTTCTGTATGGACTACCGTAGGTTAAACGAAAAGACAGTGTCAGACGCTTATCCCATGCCCTAGATAGACAAGCTGCTGAACCGGATGGCCAGGGGCCAATACCTCACTACCTTTGATCTATGTAAGGGGTATTGGCAAATCCCACTGGCCCCGGACGCCATCCCTAAGTCTGCATTTGTCACCCCATTCAGCTTATACCAATTTAAGGTAATGCCGTTTGGGATGAACTCTCCGGCTACATTTCAGAGGGTGGTGGACAGTCTCCTCGAGGGGTGCCAAGACTATACCTGTGCATACCTCGATGATATTGCCATCTTCAGCAATACTTGGCAGGAGCACCCATATAGGAGCGGTTCTAGACAGGATCCGGGAGGCAGGGTTAACCTTGAAGCCCGCTAAGTAATATAGGGATGGCTGTGGTTCAGTACCTCGGACATAGGGTAGGTTGTGGGAAGCAGAAGCCTGAGCCAGCGCAGGTAGAGGCCGTAGCTCAGTGGCCAACTCCCCAGGACCAGAACCCAGGTATTTCTTTCTAGGGACGGCAGGTTACTATAGGAAGTTTGTTCCCAATTATAGCACCCTGGCCAAACCCCTTACCGACCTTAACCGGAAAAATCTTCCCCACCAAGTAACCTGGACCACGGAGTGTGAGCATACATTCCAACAATTGAAACATGCTCTTATAAATGCCCCTGTCTTGACAGCTCCCGATCCAACTAAACGCTTTCTTGTTCACACAGATGCTTCTATGTTTGGATTAGGAGCAGTACTGAGCCAAGTTGGGGCTGATGGAGAACATCCAGTGGCGTACATCGGCAGGAAACTGTTACCCAGAGAAGTGAGCTACTCCGCCATTGAGAAGGAATGCCTGGCTGGGGTGGACAACCATTTTCGTTGCTCACGGATCACAACCCGTTGGTCTGGCTAAACCGGGTGGCAGGGGACAATGCCCGGCTGCTGCGCTGGAGCTGCACCATTTTGACTTTAACATCCAGTACAGCCCGGGAAAACAAAATGGAAACGCCGACTTGTTGTCTAGACAAACTGACTTGGAGAAATCATCCGTGCTGGATCTGACTCTGTATGCCGGCTTGTGGGCAAGGGGGAGCTGTTTAGCAAAATCTACCTGGCTGTCCAGCATATTTCCCTTCCATTGTTTTCCCCACAGACTTTCGTGTGAATTAAAACGTTCATCTAATTGTTCCTATAAACTGTACTGAAATACTTTATTCACCATACGAACACAAACTACCGAACACCGGACCACCTTGATGCATAAGTGTGACTTCAATTAACCTCCCTGTTCACTTCATTGAATTTCTTATTGAAAAGCACAAACTTGTTAAAGTCCCTGGGTGGCCGCCATTTCGGGAGCCGAACACGTGGCGGCGGCTATCTTAAACTCCCGACAGCGGTGTTTTGCCGTTGAGTGTCTGCAACTAAAATCGGACACTCGACTAAGCGAACACCGCTGAGACCTCCAGAGTTTGAATCCCACGAACAAGAGGATTCATCCGAATGCAAACACAGCTCTGGATGGCATTGAGTTCGGGACTTTTTAGAAACAAAAACGTTATACCTCCATAACTCCTGAACCCCTGGTCCCATCTGCATGATTTTTGAGTATGTTTCTCACCCAGATCAGGGATACCATATTTAGGTGTGTACCTTACGTATTTGGGGTACAGCTAGAACTTGGGGAAAACTGTGTACCTGTTTAATTGTTAAACGTTTATCTGAGGGGAGGAAATGTGTGGGTTGTACCTTGTAACCAGATTGGTTATTGTAATAATTATGGTGGGTGTCTCCCTTGCATGGAAGGATTGCATAAAAGCAGGGGTTGTGTGATTAAAGGTCCGTTCTGCTCCTGATACTGTGTGTCATCCAGTTATTGGGAAACGTGATGGGATATTCTTAGATTATATTGCTGATGGTGCCTGCTACTCTATTGGATTTACTGCTTGTTCCTGAGCTATTCTAGGATACCTGTGGGAGATCAGCTCTCCGCTACAGTTACTTTAGCCCTGATAGCAACCAGGGCGCTGTAGTGGTTCTCAGCCAATGACTGACATGATTGTAATTCCAATGACATGATCCAAGGGTTAAACTCCCTACATACAGGCTCCAGGGACCGTGAAGTAACTCTTTAAGTGAATAATCCTTTTGGTTCACCTATCATTTTCTCCCGGTATAGCTCTGAAGAAAGCACGTTGTAGCAGAAATGCCTCTGCCACGTGTTCTTGGAGGGGCCTGCTTGCCAGCCTTCTGCCTCAGGACTATTGCCCCTGTGATAAACCTGGCTAAAATACTTTAGAGGCTTGGTTCGTGCATTTGGAACTATATGGTTCGGGATACCCAGACGCACGAATCAGAGACCACCCAGGAGCTTGTTAAATCCTATTAACACTTGGTAACAATTCTACCGCAGTGTTCTAATTGATGGTATGGGTGGCCGCTGTTTGCAAGAACGACCATGAGATGGCGGGCATCTTGTTTGCACGAATGCAGGCAGCGGTGTTTGGGCATGAATCTCATGGGACTGAAATTGGACACAAACTGCTGGACTTGCCCCTTCCATGGGGACTGTCATAAAAGGCCAGTTGTGGTCCCATTAAAATCAGTTCACTTCACCCTTAACACAGAGCCTTGTCTCGTGATTGTAGGGAACAGCTATAGGTTACTAGCTATTGTAAGAGCTATACCTGTTAGAGGCTCTGGTATAGGATCATTGTCTCAGGTCCAGGGTGGGTGGAGGACAACGAGACCCCAGCCAAGCTGCGGTGGCTAAGGTGCTTATAGTACTCAAAGCGACTAGGAAACAGCGATTGGCGGAGGCACCCAGTCAGGGTGCAAGGCGGTCAGTCACATCCATCAAAAAGGGTTTTGAATTGCAAAAATCACTGCTTGCGTTGGGCAGAAAAACATTCAGACTGAACAAAAGGTAGAGCAATTAACTTTTATTTCACTGCACTGATGTCTGCAATAAGCTGTATTGTGCCAATCAATGTACAGATACAACAAAGAGTGTTTATTAAAATACATGACACTTACCAATGGTAACAAAGCACGCAACGACCATTCAACTGTACACAATACATCCAAGTGTTAAAATACTGTAGAAATGAGCTTCATACCAAAGTCGGATCATTAAAAAAATCAGTTAGATTAAAAACCAATTAAAAAAAAGTGGTGTTTTAAAAAAATTAATTTGGAAGGTAGAATATTCTAGGCTTAGAGAGAATTCCAGAAATGTTCTATAAACTCTGTTGAATTATGTGAAATACGGAGTAAAAAGCTCAGATACAGAAAACGTTCTTGTTTTTCAGTAAAATGTGTGTTAATACATCGTGCCGAAACGGGCAACAGAATATCGCTGATTTGTGTTTTACGCTCCTTGACAGTCAGTAAACCTAGTGCAAATATGTTCAGGAGTCAACACAGTGCAATTAAACAACTCTCCACATCACACAAAGTGTTAAAGGGCATCAAACATGTACAAAATGGGGTGTTCTATACAAAATGTTTGCTCCATCTAGAATATTCCCAGAGCTCCAAAAAATCTGCTCCATCTGTAAAATCATCAGGATGCCAAAGGTCGGCTCCACCAGCCTCTTGATATATTAGCACCATGGAGAGGAAGAGTTAGTGGCTGGACCATGACTGATCGCTAGGACACTCTGATATGTGGAGAGCTGAGCAGCTTCTGAAGAGACAGTTGAAAAGCTCTGAAATGGAGAACATGTTTAATTATTATTACTAACATATTGCGTTGCACACTCTAATTTTAGAAATGAGATATTTGGAAACGAACGTACAATCCCTGAGGATCTGAGGTAGGTGGATGAATATCAGTACAGGTCTTGGACAAGGAGTTGCATTTTTTCCATCTACCTTTCTAGGAAAGCCGGTTTCTAATTGATATGTTTGAATCTGTGCCTGTTTTATCTTTGTTTCCCTCTCTTGGTCTTCCTTTCAATGTGTGTCTCCGCCAGTCTTTATTTTTCACCATGTCTCATTACCAATCCTTTTAGAACTTTCGCTATTTTAGCCTATTTTCATTTTGTCTCTTTCCTGGAGTCTCTGCAGGTCACCCCTCTCTCTCCACCCAAGCCCATATATCTCAGCCCCCTTCCCTTGTGTCTCTCACTCCTTGTCTAACTCACCCAGTTTTATTTTAAATAATATTTCTGTTATATGAGCCACCTTTTAGGCTTCCATATCACACTGTAACCATCTATCATAGTGAAGCCTGTACATTTGTTCAGTCAGCTCTTTATCATAGATGCATCGAGCTGTATAGTCCATCCTACCTGGTCATTGATCTCTTTGGTCGGTTCACAGATAAAAAGAGACTCCTCATTGGATTGGAGAAGAGGCACTGCACACACGCTGAGGCTGGAGGTGACCCCAGCCAAGTCTGGGAAACAGGAAATAGAGCAATCATGGAAATGGGTAAAAAGACAAGAATATTCTAATTTAATTCCACCCATGCATTTACTAGCAATTTGTTCACATAACTTATGTAATTTTACCCTAAAAGACAACACTAACTTTTCAGAAACTGTAACTGTTATTGGAAAGGTTTTCACAAGGTTTCATGCAATGAAAAAAATACACAAAGTAGAGACTGTTTTGTCTCGTGTAGGATCCAGTTTGTGGAAAATAGTCGTAGCTTCGGCCATCACATTCTGCGAAAACCCATGACCAAAAACCACTTGTCTAATATTTAGGGAGTCCAGAAAATACACTTATTAATAAAACACCTGAATTTAATCTGCACAATCTGTTTTTTTTTTTTTTTGTAAAGTTTGGATGATTAGTTCCCATCATTCCCATAAGGAGCAGAGTGACGTGGTCCCACCTGTGAGATTGCACAGTTTCATAGTTGGCTCGGCGCTGTACTTCCACACTCTGAGAATGGGGGAGTCTTGCTCATTTGAAATACGCAGAAGGCTCGGAGAAAGCAGGGGGCCTTTCCTTCGTACCGGGATCCTGCTGGGACGAAGACCCAAATTATCTACAGACCTGAAAACATGAAAAGATAAGATTGAATCCATTGTAAGAAGAAACAAAACGTTAAGCACAATTATTTTACCAGTGTCGAGTCACCTTATCTGACCAACACTCTACTGTAAGATCAGTAGACATGATATGAATTCGGGCCAAATATGAATTCGGACGAATTTCGGGCAATTAGCGAAATTGCTGAAGTTGCCGAAGTTCCGAAGCACTAATATACTTACCAAGTGGAAGAAGAAGAATGTTACACTGTATACAATTTTAAATAAAAACTATACAAACATAGCCAGGATTCAGCTGTAAGCATTTGCAACACTTACAATAATCAGGTAACATACATTCATATAAAATGTCAGTTACTTAGCCAGTCAGTGTAGTGACAGGAATGAATAAGTAGATAGCCCCCTGATACCGTGGGAATTAGTGAGTTATCTACTAAAAGGCTGAAAGACCTAAATTGGTCTTTCAGCCAAATTTACTAATACTAAGTAAATATTACTTAGTATTAGTAAATTATGCCCCTACTCGCTATACCACGAGTAGGGGCATGTCTATTAAACAGTGAGAAGCCTATGGCTGCTCACTGTAAAAAAACAAAACACGTTTCCCCCCTCCTAACGACTGGGCTCGTTTTTTTTTTGTTTGTTTTTTAATTGCGTTGGTTATTATGGCTTTTTATTTGGCCTTTTTTGGGGCTGAAAAAAGATTTTAGAAGAAAGAAAACATCAAATGGTAAGTTTATTTATTTATTTATTTTTTTACAGGCACTTAGTTAAATGCCCCCTCCCCCCTCATTATTTTTAGGGTGAGGGGTTAGGTAGGGGTTAATTTCTGGGGGGAGGGGGGTGACTAGGGGTTTGGGGACCCCTAGTTACCTGCTGGGGGGGGTTATTTATTTTATTTAGGGCCCCCACCCGACACTCAGGGGTGGGGGTTAGGGGGGAGGACATTAGGTGTCCCCCTCCCCCTAATTAGTATTTAGGGCCCCCACCCACTGCTCAGGGGTGGGGGCCAGGGGGAGGACATTAGGTCCCCCCTTCATGCTAATTTAGGGCCCCCACCCACCGCTCAGGGGTGGGGCTCCAGGGGGGAGGACAATAGGTCCCCCTCATTATTTTACTTTAGGGCCCCCACTCGCCGCTCGGGGGGGGGGCAATAGGTCCCCCCCTTATTCTAATTTAGGGCCCCCAGCTCGGGTGGGGAGACCCTTTTTTTAAAAAAAAAAAAAAAAATTTACAGGCTGCTCACTGTTTACTAGACATGCCCCTACTCGTGGTATTGCGAGTAGGGGCAAAATTTACTAATACTAAGTAATTTTTACTTAGTATTAGTAAATGTGGCTGAAAGACCAATTTAGGTATTTCCGCCTTTTGGTACATAACTCCCTAATACCGTTGGAATTAAGGAGTTATCTACCAAGCGGCTGCAAGAGAAGTGCCGAAGTCCCGAATTTCGGAATGCCGAACCGAAATTATTTTCCATGCACATGCCTAAAGATCAGCACATGTCCGGATGTGGGATGTTCTACATATCCAGGAATACATGAGCCTCCGGGTCCTGCTGATTTTTCATTTTCAGAATATTACTTTGGCAGGAAACATTTGCCTTTTAAATACTTGATGATCTAAAGATAACCCATACAAACTCAGCAGTAATCACTACTGCTCCCCACGCATCCTATAATCCACACATAATCAATACCTGAGCAACACGCTCACTGCAGCTCCCCACACCTCCTATAACCCACACTACCTGAGCAGCACGCTCACCGCAGCTCCCCACACCTCCTATAACACACACTACCTGAGCAGCACGCTCACTGCAGATCCCCACATCTCCTATAACCCACACT